AACTGAACAGCGCTGGCTTTTGGCATTACATGGGGACGCATTGGCCCTTAGCCGAGGTTGACACGATCGACATGTCTCCTCGCCTGCTTGAAGCTGCGACGACAGCGGCTTCGCTCCAGTCGAAGCTTGCCAGAAGGAGGGGCCTCTTTTGAGGCCCCTCCTCAAATATATATATGGGGCCGTCAGTCGACAAGAGCTCCAATTTATACATGACTAGTGCCAAGAAACTTCGTAATCAAACTATTAACATCGCTCTGTCGTGCGAAATGTGTGTGGAGTTATGAGTTGTCAAGTTTATCGAGGGACTGACAAATTTACTATCTTTTATGAATTATTTGCATTCAGTGAGATCGAGTGAAAAAATCAACTGGCCCTCTGTTTCTTACAAAAAAAAAAAAGTTTTTTATGAATTGCTGTGCAATTGGGGACATTGGCGTTTACATGCATCAAAAATGGCGCGTATTACGGAAGCTAAGTGGATTTTGACGGACTACTTAGTAATTGGAGGAACCACCAGATTCTGCGAACCGTCAGAAAGCCTATTTCACTTTTCTTTCTTGTGTAGGCTATAGAATGCTACACGTGCTGTTCCCAAAACTATTTTCCTTCTGATAAGCATTTTTCAAAGTAATATTGTGGATGTTGCTTATGGACAGTACGATAATTGTTTGATTTGCTTTCAGCGCGACCCAGTGAGACATTTAAAGAAGCATGGCGTGCTGGACTCTGATGGTTACCCTATGCTTGAAAAATTCCATCAACGCCAAAAACATCGGAAGCAACACATCTTGGACCTTGTAGAACCTTTGTTGTAAAATGACACCTCGTAATTCCTTAAAAACGAACCAAGTATATGAGGAGCGTGTAGCATATACTCGTTAATAATCTTCTTTGATCTTGTAACACTAAACTATTTATTTTAGACCGATTACAGGTCAAATTACTGCAGATCACTGGCAAGTAATTCTTCTGTTAGCAGATTCATCTTTAACTTTTGTTTGTGAAATGAAATGGTCAGGAACTTTTCTCTGTTTAACTCTTAAAAACCTTAATATTCTTGTTCCTCAGTCGTTGTTTTAATCAGTCAGTAGGTAGCATTGAGTATTATTAGATTTTTTCTTGATATTTATGCCATATTTATTCTCATCAGTTTTTTTCTAATCCGGTAACAATACTATTTGAAATTGGTCTCTGCAAATGTAAAGTTATATCGATACTGTTATTAAAATTCTTCAATTTATAGTTGCCTGTTGATGAAATAGAACCTGCAAAATTTTGTTTCGTCTTTGATTTTAGAATTATAACAGAATAGCTATACTATAACTAAATAGCTATACTGTAATTAGTTTCATGTGTTTGTCAATTAAAGGTTGTCGCTCTTTATGCCAAAGGTTCTACAATTTTTAGAACTGGTTATTTACCTAGTCTCCTAGAGATATGGCTGAAGTAATCAAAAAAAAGAAAACAAGAGTATTTTATAATTTCGGTTGAGGATCTTTGGGGGCTTTTCGCACGCGAAGCAAAGAGTCGGCTACAGCAGCACTTCAGTTACTTTTAAGATTAAAACTGTGTTGTCTATTGCCTCAATCCTTCTTATTTTCAAAAATTTTCAAATTTAATTTTACTCTTTTTTTTTTGTGCAGTACATAGTGCTCGTAGACAAGATTTCGTTTCTTAGATTCTTTGTCATATAAATTTTTGTTTGTTTACGCTTTGTGACAAAGTACCCACCGGTTCCATGCAGTTGAAGACCACATTATTTATAGAGATATCAAATATAATAATCATGAGGTTGTTGATAAAAGCTGAAGTTTGACCACTTATATATTGTATGAATCAACCTTCCATTGTTTGCTTCTTTTTAAATATTCAAATTAAAAGCTGATATTGGAATCTGTTTTGATTTATGAAATCTGATATTTCATTAGAAAAAGGGTAGGAGAAACTTTTTTTCTGATAATATTCTCGTTTAGGTATTAGGAGATGAAAAGCAAAACTGAACAGTGCATTAATGATTGACGCACTTTCCTCTTGCTCTTGACTTCAGAAGGGTCGGTTGTTGATTGTCATTAATCAGCATTACACTTTATTGTAATGAATAAAGTCGCAGTGGTTGAGTACAGTTAAGTTTATTTGATGAAACGACGACAAAATTTTAAGGCATTATTTTGATGCTTCCGTATGAACAGTTAGCGGAAGATAATTAACAAACAAATGTGGAGCTAAATCAAATATAGTCGAATTGGCTATCTAGTTTAATGCTGGAGTTCAAGGAACATAGTCATTATTTGGCCATACATCATATATGATCATGAACGAATAACAAAATTAATTTAAAAGTTGAAAGTAGAAATGAGGCACTATTTTGAAAAGTCGAGAATTGAAATAGCATGTAACATAAAACTGTTAAAAGGCTGCTCTATTTTTGTATTTTTCAACTGCCTGAATAATGTATCTCGGACAAAACACGGTTTTGCTGTTAAGATGAAGAAAACATAGAATTTGACGCATTTACTGGTAGTGTTGTTTAATGCACTTATCCAAAAATATTCAGCCTGTCTAAAACTGTAGTGAATCGCTCTTTTTCCTCACCGGTGTTTCATTTTATAACTTTCCTGACTTTCACCTCAAAAGGTCAGTCAGCTCTTTAGTCTTCTATGTTTTTCAACCACAAAAAATGTCAAGTACAAAACATTAAGCAGGTCATAATATGCTGGATTTCACTTTCCCCTCTGCTCTTGCCTTTATCAGTTCTCACCTGTCATGTAATAAACACAGCCCAGCTTTCCAAAATTGCCTCAATTATCAGTTTTCCTCTCTCTTTTGCGAAAACCTTAACAAGTTAAAGCTGAGAGGAATCAGTCGACAAAACAGTTGTATGATACCAAAACCGTGAAATCAGCAGAAACCAAGAAGGAGAAACCAGCCATTATTTTACCTTTGAAAAAGATATTAATTAGTCTAATTTACTTTTTTTTCGTATAGCTGCTTTTCAAAAAAATTGTTTTTTTTTTAATCAAATAGCCCAGTCTGAGAGCTTCTGACCTGTTTAGCAGACGATAGGAGTCCATTCAGGTTTTTCAATTTTACCAAACTGAAAAAAATGAAGAGTTAATACTTATTTCAGCCCTTTTGATGCTTTTCATACAGGTTTTTAACTTTAAAACTCCTCTGCATGCTTTTTGGCAAAATCATATAACTCTTGAGACAAAGCAAAGAAATTTCCAAAAAATACGATTTTAAATCTTGTCAACTAATCTGCTCTTGGTTTATCACAGTAAGCAATTGGAAATTTCTAAATTGGTTTTCCAATAGCAGTTATTACCTGAATGCCAGTAATGGTTTGAAAAAGACGTTGCATAAGGTTTGGCTTATGAGTGTCTGTTGGGATGGGAAGCTCTTCGTAGTCACCAAGATCTTTATTTTTATAAAGAATTTTCCCAACCGGTGATACCACGCACGCAGTTCCAACTCCAAACATTTCGTACATCTAAATGTAAAAATTTTTTGTCACCATTATTCAGTATAGCTCAAATTAATAAACCTAAATACTCATAGCCCATGTCCATTACGGTTTATCAAACACGTTGAAGTATCCTTAACAGAAGAAAATTTATTATATTCACTGGTCTTATCAACATTATCTACACTTACCTTTTTTTCCTTGACGGCGTTCCGTATTTCTTTCATTGTAACGTAACGCTCAGAAACCTTAAATTCGTTCCAACTTCTTGCTAAGCTTAGCAGACTGTCTCTCGTAACGCCAGGTAAAATAAGTCCATCATCCACAGGTGGTGTTACTAGTTCTTCTTCTGAAAGTGCACAGCACCATTTAATGCTGCTTATAGTAATCACGCTGAAATTCGATACTACTTGAAATTAAATAGCACCCAGGTGTTTCATTGAAGATGGTTTAATTCAAATTATTTTCCAGGTCGGTTTTAGTTGTATAAAAAACACGAAAGCTACTTAATCATCATAAAATCTTTGCAAAATTATAATGTTAGCTCCTATCAATCAGTTTAAGCACTGTTGTAATCAGTCAATTTTTTCAAAATTTTTTCTTGGAATGAACCTCCTTTCTCATTTTTCCAGAAAAGCATTATGTTCATTGTGCCAACTTCAGTAATTTTCTCTTCAGGCCCATAAAGCCACAAAACCTGATGACATCCACGTGACATAGCCATTGTGCTTACCATAATTGATGGCGCATAATTGCTAGAAAAGAATTACTTTAACGTTAATGCTTTTGTCTAGTAAGGTTTCTACTTCTTGCAAAGATCCAGCAATTAAATGAAGGAATTTTTTTCGGAATTAATTTTTATGCCTTGCTTTTCCACTAGAAGAGATAAGCCGACACAGCTGATTACAAAATTAAAAACAAATTTCCTTCCAAAATTTTACGATGCTTATGGCTTCTTTGTTTCATATTATTAGGTGAATGACTGTGTAAAGCAGGAAGAATTGAAGTCTGGGAGTTTAGAGGTCACTTTAAAAATTATCAGCCTTAGCGCAGATTAGATACTCAATCCTATCGTCGACTTGTTTTGGTCTGTGAAGTAATTTTATATCATCTTTTATCAAGCTGCTTAATGGCAAAGAATGTTGCTTAGAGGTAAAAAGCAAGTACTGCTAAAAGTTATGGAGGGTATGCGAAACATTCAGAAATGAATTTCAGTTTTAAGGCAAAAGCCGTACTGACCATCCCATTTTGTAGCAACCAACACCACCTCGGAAAGCCCGAACATAATCGGAATCAGCAAGCAGTGTTACAGCACCCGGAAAGTAAATGCCAACGGGTCCTGTAACAACGAAGAGCTTCGCTTCATGTGCCATCCCCACTCCTAATGCTTTCTAAAACAGAGAGAGCAGTATCTGTTTTGCCAAACTGATTTTAATCAATTAGCAAACGCTGATGACAGCGGCTGAATATATAAACTCGTCAGATATAAAGTGTGGCGAAGTCTTTGCTTACATCAGTTCCAATCATTGTGGGTCGTATGTATAGCGATGCATCCATTTTTGGTACCCAATCTCTGTCCAAACTTACCAGATCTTTAATGATTTCTAGAAGTTCTTTCGCGGAAAAATCCTGAAAAGCGTTCAGCTGACAGCACATCTGCAGGCAACTGCTTGTTTTGATTATAATTTTTAACTTTTTATCTTCATTTGGTAAAGCTAAATTACTGTCTAGATATTTAATTACTACAAGCGAAGCACATCAGAGGTAATGCACTTGTCAATGTCGCAGCTGATAAACTTACAAAGAACGAGGTTTAGAGAAAAAGACAGAAGGGAACTAAAGGTGCGACTGTTAACAAGTGAAGGAAAAAAGTATAGAGAGGTTAAAAGAGGAGAACTTTTTAGCGGTTGCTCTATTTACGACCTGCATCTGACTGGTAATAAAGTGCAATTTTGGAACATACAGCAGCCGACAACAAGTGTGCCAAAGTACTTATTAACTGTAAGGAGAAAAAAAGCACTAATGGGGAAGATTTGTAACAATGATACACGTTGTGCAAGGTGACAGTTTCAAAAAAATACTGTAATTTCATCCATTTTGTGCCTCTGATGATTAATGGTGAGATAGAGCTATTACTTTCCTCAAGTAATATAACACTTAAAAAAGCAGTCACTGTCGGCAAATTGATCAGATAAGAAAGAAGTAGGGAAAATTTGTGCTCTTTCTGTATCACTTATATTCTAATTACAGAACTTATAAAACTCTCAAAAGACGTAAATATTAAAATATATTTCGTAACACTGACAACTTTTTTTGCTACTATTTCAAGATTACTGTTAAAATTCCTGCTTCTATATTTTTCGCCATTTGCTGCTACATGGCTACCTCTTTTCTGTCAAATTTTTATGAACGAGTTGAATCATTTTCGAAACAGCAAAACAGTTTTTCGAACTACTGCTGTTCAAATATTCAATTAGAGCAGGGAGCTGGAAAAGTGAAAGGAATTGCAGTTTGTTTTAAAATGATCTCTTCTCGAAATTTACACAAACAATTGGTTGTTTTTGAAAATATTTAAAGTTCCATTTAGGATTATATGTTTAAAAAAACAGCACCGTTCGGTAGCGTAAAAAGTAATGATAAAATAGCAGAAAACTTCTTTGTTTCCTCTACATTCGCTTAAAAGTACAGTGGACAGTGGTTTTTTTTCCAGCAAAAGAGCTCAAACAATAACGAAAGCTTAGTCTAATTGAACATGATTTTGCAGCTCCTTGCAGTTACTCTAGAAAGAAATATAAGTGTTAACTAGTCGAAAACTAGTTGAAATAGGACTGACAGGAAGAGCACTTCGAAATGCACTACGTCGCATACGTTCCATGTTTTTTTCTGGACGAAATAATCGAATTTTCCCATCTACGCCACGGTACGCCTTCATGCCTTCGAAAAGCTCGATTGCGTAGTGGAGGCACTAAAACAAGGAAAAGACTTCAATTTTTCAATGCATGTTATACTTTTTGGAAAAAGACTATGGAAATCTGTCCATTAGTTTGTCACCCAGAATGGAAAGAGATTCACAGACTTTAGAACCGGGATGTAGATCTAGCAGATGAATAGGGTTAATAGATGGTTTACTCCATCCGTTTGCGGCTGACCAGTCCACCTATAAAATTTTTTCCTCATGCGACACATTGAGATTTTATACTGAAGCATTATCAAATAATAACTTTGAAAGCCTACTATACTCTGAATACTGTTTGGTCTACTGTCCTGAATAAACTGCTTCAGATGTCTCAAGGTAAAATGTTGTAATAATATCATACCTCAAACATATGATCACTAAAGAACTGCCCAAATTTTAAGGTATCTCCCGGACCTGGCTTTTTGAGTAGTTTTTTTGGATTCACCTTACAAATAGTAACATCGCTGTGCTGAAACAAAAGACTTCATTCTTCTTCCTTAACAGTAATATTCAACAATTAATTATTTTTGTACTGATAGCACAAATGTGAGTAGTACTAGAGATTTCGGTTGTCATACGTACATGAAGTTTTGAGACAGCTCCATCTGACACTGTGTTCTTATTAGAAAAGACGATGCTTCCTTAAACATCAGGTGACTTTTTTTAAAACTGTAACTTCATGGAAAAAGCACAGAAACTGAACTTTGCTTTTAAAAATAGTACAAACCAAAAACGGCCTTGCTTCACGGGCTCGCTTTATGGCTTCGACATCTGCGGCACCAGCCCCAGCATAAAATCGCTGAATGTTGAACAGTACACGACCAGGGGAAGCAATACTGCTCACTTTCATGTTGTCCCACTTCAGCAGCACCGTTTATTTTTCCTCAGTAGCTGTTTCAACCTGCAAAAAAAATGTGATTTTTTGTCTTTGGATGCCTCTGTGACACCGGATAGTGCGAGAGACACCGCAAAATCAGTGCTCCGCTTGCGGCAAAAACGGTAAAGGAAAAGTGACAACTTACAACAGTAAGACGCAGAGACAAGTCAATATATCCAAAAATGGAGTGATTATCTACTTAATAACAACCAAAATGACAACAAGGACAAGGAGACAGTTGTAGATTACAATATTTAACAAAGAAATCGAATCCTTTTGGGGCAAATAACGAAACCTTGACAAAAAAACTATTGTCCAGTAGAAATTTGCAAAGTAAAATATTGAAACGTCGGTAAATGTGACCATTAACACGTAGCAAATTAATGTTGGCTCATTAGTAGAACGAAATATGAGAAACAATGGGCTATTTCTGTTTAACTTTATAGCAAGAATCCCACGTCATTATCAGAACCGGACTAAATTGTTAAAGGCACACTTTTTTTTAAGAGTTCCAATGGACCGATACAAACAACAATAACGCGTCGTACCTACCACTATTCTGTGAAGCGAATGCACGTACATATAACATATCCGTTATCAGGAAGAGACAATAATAAAGTTTATTTTAGCTACTAAACCAATGACAGTTCAATGGACGATTATTACAGGAGAAGTATTAATGGTGAAAATTAATCATTTTCATTATTCTTATTTTAAACCAACAATAAAAGGAATGAAATAAAGAAATTTAAACACAAAGCTTTTTTACTCGCAGCATCGAAATGAAATGATGAGTGTAAGGTTCTTTAAAACAAAATGCTTCTTC